TTTTTTTTTAAAAAAAATTTTTTTTTTCAATTTTCTCCCCTTTTTTGTGTGTTTTTTAATAAAATACTAGGTATAATTTTTCAGGTATCTTCGTGCGGGGAAAAGGGGGATTTCCCCACAAGTTTTTTTTTCCTAAAAAAAAATATGTGGGGGGTCCCAAACAAAAAAAAGTCAATTATATGGGGAGAAGATTTTAAAAATTTTTTTCTTTTAAAAAATTTTTTTTTTTAAAAAAAAAAAAAAAAAAAAAAATTTTTTTCCCCAAATTTTGGAAATTAAACCCCCCAAAAAATTTTTCCCCTTTTTTATTTTTAACAAAAAAAAATTTTTAAAAAAAAAAAAAAAAAAAAAAAAAAAAAAAAAAAAAAAAAAAAAAAAAAAAAAAAATAGTTCAAACTATGACAACACTTTATATCTTGATACAATGATGACAAAATATAAATAACCAAATATGCGTTTTTATTTTATTAGTATGGAATTTTTTGAATTATATTTATTTATATACTACTACCATTAAATATATTTATTTATTTTATTTGTATTTTTTTTTTATAATTTGTTTTTCTATTATTAACACTATTATTAATCATATATTCACAAAAATAAATTCATAAAAAATATTCCATTGTTACCAAAATACATATTTATACATACCTATTTAAGTATGGGGGTAGTGGTGTGTTAAAAAAATAAAAACAAAAAAAAAAAAAAAAGAAAAAAATAAAAAATAAAAAAACCTATATAAACACAACAATCAAAAAGAAATATTTGAATTACAATAATACTAAATTAAATGAATTCCAAATATTATTGTCTATTTATTTTATTTGTTTATTTATCGTTTCCAAAAATAACTATGTCTATTTTTATATATTTTTTTTTTAGAACAGTGCTGGATAGTCGGCTTGGGGTGGGGTGACATTGTAATATTAATATTATTTTTATTTTGTTGCTATATTTGCTTTATTTGTGAGGCTTAAAAAACAATATATCATTTTGATTGGGTCTCTAAATAAAAAAAATAAAACACAAAAACAAAAGATATAAATTATATTATAAATCTGCAAATCTAAAATGATTTTTATTTTTTTTTTATTTTTATTTTTATTATTTTTTTTTTGGTTATTTATTTTGGGTACTACTTCATATTATAATAAGCTATAAATTTTTTATTTGTTGGTGTTTTAAAAATAATCTTTAAATATTTTTTTTTTTTTACATAATGTAATTGATGATGTATTTTCTTTTTTTTTTAAACAAATAATGATGACTACATTATATTAATAATAATTTTAATTGTACAAATAAACAAATAATTAGATATCTAAAATTGATTTTTCGGGATAAGAGTTATAATAAATAAAAAAATGTGGACAATAAAATGAAATAAAATATAAATAATTATTACAATCGACCAAAAAATAAAATTAAAAATAAAAAAAATGAAATATATAAAAAATAAAAAATATAAATAGAATCTTTTTTTTTTTTTTTAAATTATAATTATAATTACTATTATACTATTTTATTTTTTTTATTAAAAAAAGAATTAAACGAAAAATGAAAAAAGGAATATAATAAACATAAATATAAATGATTTAAAGAAATCGAAATTTTTTTTTTTTTGAAGGGGTTTTTAATTGTTTGTGAAGTGATTTTTAAAATAAAACTAAGTTTTGAAAAACAAAAATGTGAACAAATTCACCTATTCTTTAATTACCATTTTTTTTTTTAAATAATTTTATTTAAAAGAAAAACACAATGACTGATGTCGGAGTGTTTAATAAATTGGAAATAATAATCCTATAATGAATTGTGTGTTTGAACATTTAAAAGGTATTTTACTAACTATAAACTGATTATTTTATATAAGTAATAAAAAGTTTTAAAATAATACAAAACATTGTTGATATTAATATAAGGATGTTGTTTTTCTTGTAAATTAAAAAATGAGAAAAAAAAATAAAAATAAATTAAAAAAATATAAATTTAAAAAATTATTTTTAAAAATAATTTTTTTTTTTTTTTTTCATTTTTTAATTTTTATTGTAATAATTATTACCAATTTACTTGTACAATATTATTATATATAACTAATAATGAATAATAATAACAATAGTGGTAATAATAGAAATAATAATAATAATGAAGATATAAGAAAATTTTTTATTCCAGGGTGGAAACCTGAAGATGAAAATAAAACAACAACCACTACCACAACCACAACCACTGCAACTATGGCACAACAAAATGAAAAACCTAGTTTTTTAAGAAAAGCTTCAAAAGGTCCAAATACACAAAATAATCAAATTTATCATGGTAAAAGGTCATCGTCATATCCCACACAATTCGATAATTTTAAAAATAATTTTAATAAAAATGATAATAAAAGCGGTTTACCAAAACAATTTAATAGTTTAACAAATAGGAATAATATTAATAATACCAATAGAAATATAAATAATAGAACAAATTATAATAATAATAATAATAATAATAATAATAATAATAATAATTATAGATCAAATTATAATAATTCACAACTAAACTTATCAAATTTAGGTGTACAACAATTTACATCCAATGAAGTTGAAACTAGAGTTATTCAAAAGATTGATAAAAGACTTACTATTAGCGAAATAAATGATTTAGAAAAAGATTTAAAGAAATTTAAAAAAGAAAAGGACGAAGTTGAAGCGTTTTTATTTAAGAACAGCGAAAGAGAATTAAACAGTAATAAAAAGGATATGGACAAAGACACATTTGACTCATTAATAGTTTTGGTAAATTCAAAAAAAAAGAGATTACAAGAAATCAGATCAATTGAAAGAGATATCGAAAATAAAATCCATTCAAGAAAAGAACAACTTAGAATTGATAGAGAGAAAAGATTATCCGAACAAAATAGTGCCAATGATGATAAGCAACCCAATGTAAATTTAAATTCACCAAGTTTTTTAGATAAAGCACTAGGTTTATCAAGTAATAGTAACAACCTAATTGGTGGGAATGATCAACAAGATAGAGATTTATTAATTAGAACTGGTAAAATTACTCCATTCGATAATATCCCAAGGTATATTTTTTATATTCAACAATTTTTAATTTTTTTTTAAAATAAACATTATAACTAATATTATTTATTAGAAAAAAAACCATTCTATTAGACTCAATTCAAGATATTAATCCACAGGACACTGATGACTCTAAATCAAAACCAACGGATAAAGTTTCAAAAGTTGCAATGAAACCAAATAAGAAATCTACCAATCCTTTTAATATTAAAAAGAAACCATTATCAGCAAAACAAAAAAAGAAGCAACAGAAAATGAACAAATATAATATTCAAAGAGAGGCTCCAAAGAAATTACAAGAATTTTATGATGATTTTGGTGATTTAGATTCAAATTTTTTAAATGTGACCGATCAGAATTCAAATAGTAATAGTGAAAAAGAAGATGAAGATGAAGATGAAAATGAAAATGAAAATGAAAATGAAAAACCAAATAAAAAAGAGAAAAAAGTTAAAGCCAAAAAGAAAAAAACACCAAAAACTTCAACTTTAACAACTTTAGTAACACCACCAAACGAATTAAATCCATCAAATATAAGCCTAAGTGGTAGAATAAGGACACCTCTAAATAGAATTGGTCTCGTTGAAAAAGAAAAAGAAATTGATGAATCTGATGGTGATAACGAAGAAATGGATGATGAAGAAATGGATGTCTCTGACAAGGATGATGACTATATTGAAATTGATGACGAAGAAGACAACAATTTAACTAATCAAGAAGATGAGGATTTTGAAAAAGAATTTACAATTAAAGATAATAAAAGAAAAAGAAATAATGACATCAATACCAAAAAGAAAAAAACAAAGAAATCAAATGAGGAAGATGAAGAAGAAGAATCTTATGAGGAAGAAGAGTCGTATGAAGAAGAGGAAGAAAGAATTAACATTCACAAAGAAAGATGGGCTGATGATGCGAATGAAGATTTATATCAAAAAAGGTTGTTTGAATGGAAACAAAGACAAATTCAAAATCACTATAAAAAAATGAATTTAGATAAAAGATTAGAGATTATTGAAAAATATACCGGCACAATCAATAATAATACAACACCTTCAACAACAAATGATGATGAAGATGCAAACCAAACCTATAAAGAAGATGAAGAAGATGATTATTTAAATCCAGATAAATTAGATAATGAAACAGTTTTTGGTGAAATTGAAAATCAAGTTAAAAATATATTAAATGAAGAAGAATTGGTCGAAGAAGAAGAAATTGGTGATGATTTTCAAATTGATGAAAATTTTAAAATTCCATTTGATATCTATAAGAATCTATTCGAATATCAAGTCACTGGTGTACGTTGGCTTTATGAACTCCATTGTCAAGAGGCAGGTGGTATAGTTGGTGATGAAATGGGTTTAGGTAAAACAATTCAAATTGTATCATTTTTAGCATCACTTCATTACAGTAGAAGACTTGGGGGTCCTGCACTTATTGTTGCACCCGCAACTTTACTATCGAATTGGGTTAAAGAATTTCATAAATGGTGGCCACCATTCAGAGTTGGTTTATTCCATTCATCATCATCGTCATTATCAAAAGATGACATAGTAAAGAAAATAGCATCAAAGGGTCATATTCTTTTAACTACTTTTGAACAAATCCGTATACATCAAGATATTTTACTGGAACATCACTGGGACTATGTAATATTGGATGAAGGTCATAAAATTCGTAATCCGGATGCAGAGGTCACATTATCATGTAAACAATTCCAAACTTGTCATCGTATTATTCTTTCTGGTTCACCAATTCAAAATAAACTTACAGAGTTATGGTCACTTTTCGATTTTGTATATCCAGGAAAATTAGGAACTTTACCCATTTTTAAAACTCAATTCTCATTACCAATATCAGTTGGTGGTTTTGCAAATGCTTCGCCTATCCAAGTCCAAACCGCTTATAAATGTGCTGTTGCTTTACGTGATTTAATTTCGCCATACATGCTCAGAAGAATTAAAGCCGATGTATTAAAATCTCTCCCATCTAAAAATGAACAGGTTTTGATGTGTCCTTTAACAAATTTCCAAGAGAAGCTTTATTTAGAGTTTTTAGATAGTAACGATATAAAATCTGTGCTCGAAGGAAGAAGGAATGCACTCTATGGTATCGATATCTTGAAAAAGATTAGCAATCATCCAGATATTCTACATATGGACCCTCATGATGAAGATAGACCCGAGGATTATGGTAACATTAATCGTTCTGCAAAGTTGCGTGTAGTTGATCAAATTTTACCACTCTGGTATAAGCAAGGTGATAAAGTTTTACTCTTTTGCCAAACTAGACAAATGTTGGATATTGTAGAAGCATATATTAGAAATTCAACAACTTTCAACTATTTAAGAATGGACGGTACAACTTCAGTTAAACATAGACAATCATTGGTTGAAGAGTTTAATCTTGATGAAAAACTATTTATTTTTTTGTTAACAACTAAAGTTGGTGGTCTTGGTTTAAATCTTACAGGTGCAAATAGAGTAATTTTATTCGACCCAGATTGGAATCCATCTACCGATACTCAGGCCAGAGAAAGAGTGTATAGAATTGGTCAAAAGAAATCTGTTACCATTTACCGTTTAGTAACTCTTGGTACAATTGAAGAAAAAATATATCATCGTCAAATCTATAAGCAATTTCTTACAAATAAAATTTTAAAAGATCCAAGACAAAAAAGATTCTTCAAATCAAAACATTTTAAAGAATTATTTACATATTCAAAGAGTAACAAAGGTTCCGAAACTGGTAATATTTTTAGCGAATCAAATTCAGAAATTTTACCTGAACATATGAAGGATAGTGATAATGAAGAAGACATTAACAATAATAATAATAATAATAAATCAAATAAGAGCAAACTTTCTTCTTCCAATTTACCAAGTATACCAAAAAAACAAAATAATGATTATATAGACAGTTCATCAGATGAAGAAAAAACAAAGGTTAATAAAAAGAGAAAATCAAATAAAAGTAATTCAATTGATGATGAAAATGGTGGCAATGATGAAAAATCAAATAGTAACGACGATGACTCTTATATATTAAAGTGCTTATTTGAAAAAGAAGGTTTAAAAAGTGCTTTAAGACATGACACCATTATGGATCAATCTGGTCCTGAACATTCTTTATTAGTAAACGAAGCGGAGAAGATTGCATCAAAAGCTGTTGGTATTTTAAAAAAATCAAAAGAATTAATCGATAGGCAAAGATCATCATCATCAACTCTAACATGGACTGGAAGGTTTGGATCTTCAGGTTTACCAACACTAATGAATAGTAATAATAATACAGGTAGATTTGGTCAAAAATCAAAATTACAATCACAACTATCACCGCTTCAATCAATAAGTAATATTACAGTAGACTCTGATAATATACTTTTAAATAAATCAATTACAAATAATAATAGCAACAATACAAATAACAATAATACAAATACCAATAATAAATTCTCTTCAACTAGAATTTTATCAACTTTAAATAATAAAGAAGAGGAAGATGCTAAAAACTTGTTTGGTGGTTTAAATTCAAACGAAATTATAGAAAAAATCTTTAACTTTATCATGGAAAAAGGAGGCTCTGTAACAACCCAAACAATTATAAACAATTTCTCACTTACTATAAACGAAGACCAAGCTCCTTTATTTAAAGCTTTGTTAAGAAGTGTTTCCGATTTTGATAAAGTTTCAAAACGTTGGGTTGTTAAATCTGAATTTTTATTAAATTAAATAAACTTTTTTTTTTTTTATTTTTTTTTTTTTATTATAAAAAAAAAAAAGATTTTGTTTTAAAACTATAATTTTATTTTAAAAATTAAATAGTATTATAAGATAAAAAAAGAGATTCATTTTTATAATTGTTTATTTATAGATTAAATTTTTTTTTTTTTTTTTTTTTTTTAAATACACAAAGGAGTTTAAACTAAAAAAATTTTTTGATTAAAATATTTTCAAATAATTTAATTTACAAAAAGTATTTTTTGTTTTTCCTTATTTATTAAAAAGATTTTTTGATTTTAAAAAGTATTTATTTATTATTTTATAAAAAAAAGTATTTATTATTTTATAAAAAAAAAAACTATAAAAACCAAATTCAAATTTAGTTTTTTATATTATTTAAAAATTAATTATTAAAAATGAAATTTTTATCAAGTTTATTAAGTTTATTAGTATTAATTATTGTTGTTACAGCAAAAGTTCCAACTCACCGTAATGATTTAACTGCATCAGAACAAGTCCAGTTAGACCTCTACCCAACCGGCTCATGGATAGATTCTAAATATGACAATCAAAAATTTACCCAATATGAAGGTGTTATCCATAACAATTCTCCTTTCACATTAACTGAAGTTAACATCAATATATTAAATCCAAATGGTTTACATTTAAGAGATGATACAATATGGAATATGAATTGGAGAAACAGCTATCCACCACACAACCAATTTTATCTTCCTCCAGGAGAATCTATTTACCAAAATAATGTTTATAAATTTACTTTTATAGTTCAAGGTAATGGATATCCACAATTAGAATTGGGATCTGTCAAATATTCATAAATAAAAATTTGTTTTTAATTTATAGTCAATAAAATTCTTTTTTTTTTGTTTTTTTTTTTTTTAAAAAAGCTTACTTAATAATATAATAAATATTATTAGTGTAAGCGACGGTGTTTATTTATATTAAAATATAAGAAGAAGTGGGTGTTGGGGTAAGGTTGAAACAACCTATCAAGTTTAAGAATTTTTTTTTTTCTTAGATTTTTGTTGATGTTTCCAATTACCATATGGTAATCGTCACAGTGCGTGATGAACTTGTTCATCTTGTTGGTGGTATCTCTTTCATTTAGGAGATTATGTAGGTTTTCTTTTGAGAGAGAGATAAAGATAGTTTTCTTTTTCTTTTTGTCGAATGAGATCTTTTCTATATCTGTGTATTTGCTGAAATGAATTATATGTTCATCGGATATTTGGTGGTTTGGGTAATATAATCTGAGATTGATGTTGTTTCCATTTTTTTCATAAGTGGATAGTTTGTTATCTCGTTCAATGATATCTTTAACACTTTTTTGAATTATAGAGATGCTTGACAAGAGTATGTCTTCAATAGTATTGAAATTATTATGGGGAAAATCCTTAGTTTTCATTTCTTTCCAATCGTTGGATAAATCTATTATGATTGGTTTTACGTTTGAAGATGGTGGTGGGAATGATGTTTGCAGTTGGATTGGCTTTTAGAAAGACAAATTGGTGAAGATTGGAGATAGTGAAGATAGAAGATTAAAAATCTTTAATACGATCTAAATTCTTTTGATCTGTGTTTTGTGGTGTATAATTGATATTTTTTTTTTTTTTTTTTTTAAAAAAAAAAAAAAAATAATTGATATACATTGAAATAGCTTTTAAAAAGCTGTTGGACAGTGCTAAAATTATTTGATAAAACTTAATTTATAAAAAGTAAGATTTTATATGATGTTAACACTTGTCGGTTTTGGTATGTTCATTTCGGTGTCGTTCGACCACTTGGCTTTCATTGCTCACCCAAAAAACCAATTGCTCGGGTATAATCAACGGGAAGATAGATTTATAAAAAAGTTACGAGACCATCAGGGGTCGAACCTGAGACCTACCGGTTCGTAGCCGGTCGTTATATCCAACTAAACTATAGTCCCTAATATGAGAATGACAAGTTTGTAGTACATCTGGGTGTAAAAAAATTTTAGAGTGAAAATACAGGTGTACACCTGGAAAGCTTCAGAACTTTATCAATGAATTACAAATTAAATTACTAAAAATTCTTTTAAAAATAAATTAATAAAAGTCGTGTTATGATGTTTCAGTATCCTACTGAAATTATTTTCGATTGGTCTGATGGAGTTGATACTAATTTTGAATACTGTTTCTAATTAAATAATAAACCAGTAATAAACTGTGGAAATGGTATACAATTGATGTTTTGGTGCCACGGTAATTATATTATTCATGGTTGTTCGACAGTTGTTATGTTTCCTAGATTTTTCATTCTATACCAAACTTAAAATAGGGACAACTAAATATTTTCTTCATCTAATATTATTTGATGTTCTACCATATTTACTTGGCCAGAGAAAATTTGATAGATATAATGTGCATAAAACATTTGATTAGATTGAAAAGTTTTATTTGAGTTGTAGTTAAAATCTTTTTAAGTTGCTTTAAATAATATTTTAATATTAATACTATTTTGATTATATTTTGAAACTAATTATTATTATTATTATAAATTATAATATTGAATGTTTTGATTCTAAAATCTAATATTATTTTAAAAAATTTGTATTTTTATAAATAGTTTTATTTTTTATTATAATAATCTATCTATTGTTTAACTAGTTATCTTTATATATTAACAAAAATATTTATTACATATTTTATTTAATTATTTTTTAAAAAAAATAGTTAAAATTATATAAATAAAACCTTTGAGAACATTATCTTAATTTTATTTTTGACATTTTATATAAAAGGGAATATTACAGTCATTTATTAGATTTTAATAATTACAATAATTTTTTCACCCATTTTCCACTGCTATTTATATATTTCTCTCATTTATAATTTATAAAAAACACTTTTTCCCCTATTAGATAATAAACATCATTCACAATATATTTATTATTTTTTAAATTTTATTTTTTTTTAAATTTTTTTTTTTATAATAATTTATTTATTTATTTTTATTTATTCTTTAAATATAACACCCTTCAGTTCAAAAAGGGTCAAAATACTTATTTTTTCAATTATAAATATTTTTAAAATATACATACCACTCTTTTTTACATATAATAATGATTCATATACTTCTTGTTTTCTTTTTTTATGAACACATTAATAGTGTGACGTTATAGCTCATCACATTTTTTCAACTCTACAAAAAAGCTATAGAAAACTTTATAAGTGGTTCAAGTGGTGGTTCAAGTAGTGATTCAAGTGGTGATTCAAGTAGTGGCTCAAGTAGTGTTTCAAGTAGTGAATCAAATGTTGTAACAGATGATGGAAGTGAGAATGGTACATCTTGTGGTGATGCAATGTTAAGTAATTGTAGCACAAAATAGTATCAATTAAAATGATATCAGTTTAACAGCCTGAAAAGATTATGTTTTTACAAGCTATCAGGGTTTGGATCTGGGTAAATATTCAAATTTTCAGAATCAAACACGAATTGATGTGACTCTGTAGTACAGAGTCTTTACAAACTTAAATTCATGGTGATATAAACTTAAATCCATTCAAGTATAAAACATATCAAATACAAAATAAAGAATTTTTATTTAATATTCAAGAGCTAACATTATTTCTACATATCAATCACAGTTCTTATATAATGTTTTTGGTGTATCTAAATCTTGAGCAATTTGATAATCTAAAGTGTTAATTGGAGTTGTATCATCAATTGAAACATTTTTTCTTTTTCTATATTTTATGGACTCTAAAAATTGATCATCTATTAAAATGATATCTAAGGTTATATGTCGAAAAATATCCAACACTTTCTGGCACTTCCTAATATCAACATTGGTACATATAGAACAAATATTATTTGATTATCTTTTTATGTTTTTGTGAAGTAAAGATTAAACGATTTTTATTTATGTTACTCCGGAAATCCAAAATTTGAATCATAAAATTTTATTATATAAATTGCAAAATTAATATGAGTTGCAAAATTTGTGCAACTAACTGTACTATTATAATCACTAATATATTTTGTCAATCTTGTTTACATTTAGAACAACCATCGAATTATGATATATGAGACATAGCCTGGTGCAGAACCTACTATTGTATAGTATTTTAAAATTGTTTTGACATAATTAATTTTAAAAATTTTATTTTATTTTAATTTTCGATGTTTGTATTGTTTTGAATAATAAATATTTTGATTGGGGTTTGAAATGGAGTCACGTTTTAAAGGATTGACCACATTGCCCATATGAATTGAAGTTAAAGAGTCAGGGATTATACCTTTTGTAAAACGTTGAGAAAAACCATTATAAAATTGAAGATTAGTTAAATGATTTGGAATTGAACCAGGTTTTAATTGATATTTGATATTTTGTAAATACAACTTTTGTACGGTGGGTGGTATAAAACTAAGTGGTTGATTAAAGCCACCTTTTAAATATAAATCTGTGACTGTTGCTGGAATTGAATCAGGTGTCAATTGATACTTGATGTTTTCTAAATACAACGATTGTACGGTGGGTGGGATAAAATTAAGTGGTTGATTAAAGCCTTCAAGTAAAGATAAACGTGTAACTGTTGCTGGAATTGAATCAGGTGTTAGTTGATACCTGATGTTTTCTAAATACAACCATTGTACGGTGGGTGGGATAAAATTAAGTGGTTGATTAAAGCCATCAAGTAATAATAGTTTTATAACTGTTGCTGGAATTGAATCAGGTGTTAATTGATACTTGATGTTTTGTAAACTCAATTTTTTTACGGTGGGTGGTATAAAATTAAGTGGTTGATTAAAGCCATCAAGTAATAATAGTTTTATAACTGTTGCTGGAATAGTTTTGAGGAAACATTCGATGGGCCCAATGGCAAGATTTTTAATTTCTAAATGACTAATATCACGCCATTCTTCGTAAATTATAAATATTGAATTGTAAGCTTTATTAAATGGAATTAATTCAAGTATTATTGGTAAAATAAAAATTTAAAGCTTAAAACTTACAAAATAGTATTTTTAAGTCTTTTTTAACTAAAGAGATATCATCAAATACTTCTAAATAACTGTTTGTTAGATCTTTGATTGGGTCGAAATTATTTTCTTGAATTAATTGAGTATCTTTATATTCTGGTATGTTATTCTTGTTTATATTTGATAAAAGATTATTACATTGATGATTGTGTTTTAAAAGTTTAATAAATCCATTATTATTATAAACATCATTATTATTAACATCATTATTATTATTAATATCATTATTATTATTAATATCATTATTATATTTAATAGCATTATTAATGTTATTAATATTGTTTTCTATTGTTGTTGTTATTATATTATTTACTTCTTTATTTTCGTCTAATTTATTTATTAATAATCTTTTAATATCATTTTCTTTTGCATCGATAATATATTTTAATTCCTTAAATATATTAAGAGTTTTATCAAAATTCTTTGTATGTTTATCTTGAATATTTTTAAAGTGATTTTTTGATTCATCTAATATTTTTTTATTATTTTCTAAACATTTGATTAGGTTTGGTATTGTTTGATTTTTAAAATCTTGTTGTATTTGATTTCTTAAATTTATATCATTTAAATTTTTAAAATTATGACCATTATGAGTATCAGTAATACAATAAATACAGACAGGAGTGTTTGAACAAGTTGAGCATATTAAAATAATATCTTCATTAGGGTGATCCAAGCATTTGGTATCATTTTGTTGATTATTTGACATTTTTTCATAATAATTATTTTAAATTGTTTTAAAACAAAATAAATTATAATAATTTATATAGTAAATTGTATTTTATAATATATATATTTATATATATAAGCTATGGATTAAAAAATTCTTTAAAAAAATATAAAAAAAATTTAATAAAAAAAACTTTAAAAAAAATAAAAAAAAAAATTTTATTTTTAAAAAAAATTGAAATTGGACGACATAATTTTTGATTTAAAAAGTATTTTTTTTATGAATGAATGTTTTTTATATACACTTAAAGTGTCTACTCTTATTTTTTTTAAATTTTGAAGGAATTCATAACCAGCCCTTTTTTTTAAAAATTTTAAAAAAAATGAAGATAACAATAATTGGTAAAAATGAAGATAACGATAATTTTCGAACTCTAATTTTTTTCGACAAATAAATTTATTTTTAAAAGGGGAAAAACTTTGCGAACTGTTATATCCTCATCGGTTTATTAACTTGTTGGGAAAAATAATACATAAAAAATAAATTTTAAAAAAAATTTTAAATATTTTCTTTACGAATTTACTAAAGTTAATTAATAAATAGTTTATTTACATTTATAAAAATTTTTTTTTTTTTTTTTTTTTTTTTTTTTTTTTTTTTTTTTTTTTTTTTTTTTTTTTTTTTTTTTACCCTTTAAGTATGTATCTCTTGGTTTTTTGAACGGTTCTCGATAAACAGACATGTAATATCCTTTTTGATTTCTTTTTTATTTGTATTAAACATTTCAGGCATGTTGGGATTTTTTGTGTTTTGGAATGAAATAATCACCGATGGAGTAATATAATGACCAAAGAACATTGTATGTATTTGAACGTAATAGACAGTGGTCTTCTTTTTCTTCGTAAAATACTAGTTTTATATGGAGGTCAAGGGAACTTTGATATACTTTGTCTATTAAATTTTGGAATTGATGTATTTTATTACTTTTTTGATATTCTTTTTTAGCATTTCCAAAATGCATAAATATTAAGACTGCAACTTCTGTTTGTTTAAATTCAACCTTTTCTGGGTTTGAAATGCAGTTATACATACATGCGAGTATTTCTTCCAATAATTTGATGGTTTCCTCTGAAGAATTTGGATTGAGCCATCCCTTTGATAATTAAATTTGAAACCAATAAGCTACTATTGGCTTAAATTTCATCTGATAAACTATTACTAGCTATTGAAAAAAATGCAATTTTTAATATGCTATTAATGAGTGTTTCTATTTCTTTGGCATCTATAAAATTAATTAAGTCCATTGATGCTAAAAAGAAATCTAATTTTTTTATGGCACTTAAAATTGAATTATTATCATTTGATTTTAATAACAATTCTTTATAGTGATTATATTCACTTAATGTAATTTTGATGCCTGTTGTATTTTTTTTATTATTTTCTAAAATATTACTATTATTATTATTATTATTATTATCTTTGTTACTAAAGATGTTGATGGTGTTGGTGATGAATTAGCCAATAGAGCAAACATTTAAAGAAAAAAAATTATAAATAAAAACAAAAACAGAGATTATATATGAAATGATTAAACTATTCATTATTGTTTATTTATTGGTTGATTGAAAATTGTTCTTTTTGTTGTTTGGGTTAGTATAAAATGAAAATCTTCTTTTATGAGTTTACCAGTTACTCTATTCAATTCTTTTAATCTTTTACACATATCAACTGTGGCTGAAGTGGCTGGAATATCTCTTTTGGGCTACTTTCTAAAACTTCTATATTTTTCATACTAATCACTGTGTCCAACAATCTCTTCTAATTTCAAACCCTATTCGAGGTAAGCTTGTGTTGCTTTTAATGGCTCATCATATAATCTCCACCTTTAATAAGTTTTTTTTTTTTTTTTAATAGTTTTTTTTTAATTATTATTTGTTTCTGTTATTTTGAAAATATAAAGAATGATTGGAAAAAAAAAAAAAAAAAAAAAAAAAAATTTTGAAAAAAATTTTTTTAAAAAAATTAAATTAAAACCCCACCACACACAATTTTTCTTTTTTATAAAAAAATTAATTAAAAAATAGATAGAACTGTTTAATTATTCCCATAAAATATTTACATTTCATTGCTTCATATAAAAAACTTTTTTTCAATAATAATTTTTGTAAAATTTTAGTTAGCTTTACTAACAGATAAACTATTATAGTTTATAAAACGAATCTTTAGCTACTTTAATTTCTACCACTGCATTATCGCTTATTGTTTTTTGGATAAGCCAGTGTATAGATATGTTCACATATATAGCGGCTATATTATATTATAGCCTTGCAATGATTATATGTGACATATAATGTTAGGATCGAAATATCCAACATAGTAATTGTACACTAGGAAAAATTCGAATACGGGGGGTTTATTTGTTCCCTGGGCTAAGACTTATCCAAAAATTAATTATTTTAAAAAAGAAGAAGGCGATAATGCATAATTAGTAAAGAAAATAAAATATGTGTATGATTTCGTTCTTACCCAGTTTATCTTTCCGGTGATCAATAATATATTAATATAATATTTTTCTTTATTTATTTATTTTAACTAGAGTTCGAAAATTATCTTTTCGAAATAAAAAAAGGGCGAAAAAGAAACAAATTATGATTTGCGTATTTGAACTGTTATTTTGGATCTATTGGCAAATTTAAAAAGGATAAAAATGAATAATTTTTTTTCAAAAAAAGATAAAAAAGAGATAATATTTTTTTTAAAAAATGGATAATGAACACGATAACGATAATCGGTAAAAATGGAGATAACGATAATTATAGAACTCTAAATAAAATATTTCATCAACAATAAATTTCAATAATTATAAACCATAAACAAAATAATAAATATAAAATATAATTTTCAAAAAACTTTTAAAATATTTTAGAACTATTCCAGATATTCACCTTTTATAGTTTTTTATTCCTTTTGGTTCCCTTACAACTTATTTTTCGATTTTGCCTGAAAAATCACTTTTTCGTTATTATATATATAAGGGACTATAGTTTAGTTGGATATAACGACCGGCTACGAACCGGTAGGTCTCAGGTTCGACCCCTGATGGTCTCGTATTCTTTTATAGCCATTTAAACCACATATCTTCCCGGTGATCAATGATGGATTTTAATGTTTGAAATAGGTTTTGTGAACTAGGATTATAACTTGTAATTATTTTAAATAATCAAAAAAGAAATTTTATTAAAAAAATAAAACTTTTATTTATAGATTTTATCCATATCTTTTAAAAAAAAAAAATTTATTTAATTTTTTAAAATTTTTTAAAAATTTTTTAAAAAATTTTTAATTTTATTAAATGTTTTTATAATGAAGGATCCTTGCAGTGAAACATCAAATAACCTATAAAATTGTATAATATGGTAAAATATATCTTTTAATTCTTATTTTTTTTATTTTTAATTTTAACAATAAAATTTTGAAATATTTAAAAAGATTTAAGATTAAAGAAATGGAAGCTCAATTATTTGATTATCAAATAAAAACATGTATAATTGGTAACTACATATAATTATGTAAAATTCTTTAAACTAGTTTTTTTAAACATATGTTTATATTTATAGGCAACGAGTGGTGTGGAAAATCAAGTTTTCTATTAAGGTTTTTCGACCAAGAATTTTATTCACAAAGCATTGGTACAATAGGTGTAGATTTTAAAACAAAACGTATAGAAATGAATGATTTTATAGTTAGAATACAACTTTGGGATCAAATAGTAAGTAAAAAAACAAAAGAAAAAAAATAGAAATATAAAACTAACTTTTAAAATTTATATAATTAATTTTTAGAAAACAAATAGATTTCAGCGAAATACAAATTATTTTTATAGAGGAGCATATCTCTTTTTTATATGTTATGACATAACAGATTTAGGATCATTTTTAGATGTTGAAAAAGTTTGGATTCCAACTCTAGAAAGATATGCAAGAGCAGATTTTATGGTTACTTTAATTGGGACAAAGTTAGATAAAGCAGATTTATATAGTGAAAGAAAAGTACCTTATGAAATCGCAAAAAAATATGCAGAAGAACATAACATGGAATTTTATGAAACATCTTCAAAATATGATATAAATGTAAATCAGAGTGTAATAAATTCAACCTTTAGAGTATTTAAAAGCTATTTTGAAAATAAAGAAATTGATATTGCCCCCAATATTAATAAAAACAATAGTATTAGTAACAATAGTAACAATAATAATAAAAAAAAAAACTGTAAAATAAATTAAAGATACAATAATTGTAAAATAAAATTTTTATTTTAAAGGTATTATTTTTAAAATAGAGAAACAATTAAACATAATAATAAAGATATTAAAGAAAGTTTTTGGATGGTTGTAGCGCCACTTGATTCAGATTCAGAATGATCGGCATTGGGTGATTCAGAATTACTATTTAGGGTGTTTCCATTTTCACCTGGTGTGGTGGTTGAATCGTCGGAATTGGTATTTGGTTGGGTAGTGGAAGAATCTGAATTGGATGTAATATCATTACCAGTATATGGATTAGTAGTTGAGGCTGCAGCACTATTTGAGGAGAAAGCAGCTAATGTACCAACAAGACCAACGTTATAATCTAAAGCAACTTCACTTTGGGTGTAATCTGTTCTATCATCTTTATAGCTATCGTCGGAAGCTGGACCACCAACTAAAGCACCATACAATACATAGGTATTTGTGGTTGGATTATTGATATCTTGGGTAGTTGAATGATGTGAGGCTCTATGATGTGGGTTCTTTGGATAGTTTGAACCCCAACCTGCAATAAATGAATAGGATTTTGCATTATTACCCAAGACATAGTTTAATTGTGACTCTGCAAAGCTAGCATAGTCACCGCCATACATGGAAGCAATTAAAGCCATGTTCATTGAATATCTACATGGACCCCATTCATTTAAATAAGCTAAACCATTTGGAGTATAGTTTACACCACCATTTTTTTGCCAGTATTTTAGTGCAGTCTCTACATTTGATTTATAAGTGGCACCATTATTAATTTGATATAGCAACATACCAACGGCAACACCTTTTTGATCCCAGCTTAATTGATTTGCATATTGAACTTCGTTATTTGCATAATAAGTGGCAGCATTTGAAAGATAACTACTTTCACCAGTAGCTTTGTATAACCAAGCAGAAGCCCATGCTATTTCGTCGTTATAGCCACCAGAGGTATAGAAACCAGAGGCAACTTTTATTGAATCAGAATATAGCTTCTTATCACTATTTATTGCAAAACTATAAAGAGTTTTAGCATGGCTTAGACATTCATTAGCATAGGAGCTATCACTTGATTTAAAAACGAGATAAGTTGCTGCAAGAGAAGCAGATGCCTCCATAGCGAGATCGGTACCTGGGTTATTGGAATCAATTGTATAGACTGTACGAGTATATGAAATGTCTTCTGGTGGAATCCAATAAGAGTGGTCTACATTAGCATCGGCAATTTGACCTACAAAAACATTATCCTCTACATGGGAGGCAATTGTATAATCTGAACCCCACTTTATAACATCTTTATAGAGAGAGTCTAAACCACAACCAACAATATTAGATTCGTATTGATTATAAATCCAACTTAACATTGTCATTGTATAAGCCATTGGGAAACCAAACTTTTAATTATAAAAAAAAAAATATTAATATTAAAAATAAAAAATAAAAAATAAATAATTAAAATAATAATTTATTTAAAAACTTACTTTTACACCATCACCAGCGTCGAAATAACCTTTTGATAATATACCATCACCATTACTATCGACTTTATTGTTATAGGTATCACCCAACACACTATTACCTCTCCACGGTATATCTGCATCAGGCAATCTACCTGCTCTTTGTGCTTTGTAAAATAACAAAGAGTATTTTAATGCCTCGCAATAATTATCAGCAGCAAAAGATACTGAACTAATGCATGTCAAATATAAAACTACTAAGAAATAAAGTACTTTCATATTTTTTTTTATTGATTATAAATTATTTTTTTTAATGATACATAAAAGATTTTACAAATATAATTATTATTAACAATGAAAAATTAAATTAGAATAAAAAAAAATGAAAATCTAAAGTATTTATACTCTTTAATTTTTAATTTTAAGAAAAAAAAAAATAAAAATACAATTTAATTAATAATAATTTTTTTATATTTTTTTTATTTATTATATTTAATATAAATATTTTTAAATATTTTATTTGATTTTTTAATTATAATTATTTATTTTGATATTTAAGAAAAAAAAAACGAATCTCAGTTTATTTGAAAATAACCTTAAATAAAGTCAAAATGGTTTTTAAGAATAATGAAAATTTCAAATAATTTAACTAATCTCATTTTTAATTAATTTGATATTAAAATTATAAAACAGTAGAGAAATTAGGAATAAGAAAATTGAAAAAAAAAAAAAAATATAAATTTAAAAAAACTATTTTTTTTTTTTTTATTTTTTTTTTATTTTTTTTTTAAGTTAAATATTTATTTTATTTTATTTAAAAAAAAAAAAAGTTAATACATAACTTTATTTATTTTTGTTTTCTTTTTCTTTTTCTTTTTATTTTTATTTTTATTTTTAATTTTTTTATTTTCTTTATAGATATGTTATCTATATTTTTGCAATGAAAAATGAAAAGATTTCACTGAGAATAAAGAAAAATCATAGTAAACATTTTTGCCTAACATAATTCTTTTATTTTTGCATTAAATAATTCTTTTTGGAACATACACCCACCATTGAGAAAAAAAAAAAATTTTGATCGCTTGGGAGATCCGGTAAATTTTTTTTTTTGGGATGTTGGAGAGTGGGTTTATTAAAATTAAAAATTTCTCACTCAAATGAATTTAATCATTTAATACTATAATATGTAAAATATTTATAAATTATTTAGTTTTTTTTTTTTGATTTCTTTTTTTTTTGTTTTTTGGGTTTATAAAAAAAAAAAAAAAATGATTTATATTTGGATGTTTTAAAATTTAAAAAAAAAAAAAAAAAAAAAGATTTTTTTATTTTTTTAAAATTTTTTTATTTTTTTTCATTTTTTTTTTATTTTTTTTCAAAATTTTTTAAATTATTTTTTTATATTTATTTTATGTTTTGTTATTAACTATATAGCCCCTATATATTAATTAAAATATAGTTTTTTATTGTTGTTATTATTATTATTATTACCATTTTTGTACTTTTACATTTTCAACAATAAAAAAAAAACAAAAAAAATAATATAAAAATAAAAAAAAAATAAAAAAAAATCAAAATTTAATTTTTTTACAAATTTTTTTTTATTTTTATTTTTTTTTTAAATTTAATTAACGTATATATATATAACAAACTAGTGTATTATCAAACCACACACACACCCTATTATTAAAATCATATTTATTTATTATTGTATATAATAATTAATAATAATAATCAAATAATAATAACAATAATATAATATATACAATTTATTTTACAATTAAATAAATAAATTAATATTATAAAAAGAAACTATATTATAAAAAAAAATGAGCGATGTTAATGAAGTTTCTAGTATAACAAATGAATCAATAAACAATCAACAACAACAACAACAACAACCACAACCACAACAACCACAACAGCAACAACAACCAGCACAATCACAATCATCATCTCCACCACCACTACCTCAAAAACCACAACAAATTATAGAAAATGGTTTAAGTTCAATTTCAATAAATGATCCACAATCATCAAATCCTACTCCACCAATTGAAGGTAAATATATATATATGGATACATATGTATAGACATATTTAGTTTATTTATTTAAATATTAATTATTATAATAATTTTTATTTCAGATAATAATAGAGGTGTATCAAATGATGCAATTAAAGCATCATTAGATGGATTAAAACATAATTCATTAAAAACATCATTCCCAACATCATCACAATTTATTGATGTAAATGCACAATGGATTCATAATAAATTAAAAGAAAGAGAACCAGAGTTTACAGAGAAAAAAGCAATGACAATATTTTTAGGTACATGGAATGTTAATGGTAAAAAACCAACAGAACCATTGGATCTTTGGTTAAAGGATCCATCAATGACTTTACAACCCGATGTATATGCTATTGGTTTTCAAGAATTAGATTTAACAGCAGAAGCATTGTTATTAGGTGATACAACACGTTCATTACCATGGGAACAACATATTTTATCAACATTAGGTGGTGATTACGTTAAACTTCTCTCCAAACAATTAGTTGGTATACTATTATGTGTTTATGTAAGGAAAGAGCATAGACAACATATTGCACATGTTCAATCAGATATTGCTGCTGTCGGTATTATGGGTATGATGGGAAATAAAGGTGGTGTAGCAATTAGATTTTCATTTTACAACACTACAATTTGTATTATAAACTCTCACTTAAATGCACACATGGAAAATGTATTAAGAAGAAACCAAGATATGAAAGATATTGCTAAAAACATTAAATTTGTTGCTGAAGAAGGACCTATAAATATTTTTGATCACGAGTAAGTTTTATTTATTAATTATTACCATTATTATAAAATAAAATAAATTATTAATATTTTTTCATTTTTAAAAATCATCTAGTCAATTATTTTGGATTGGTGATTTAAATTATAGAATTCCATTACCAGATTATGAAGTTAAAGAAAAAATAAAGAAAAGAGATTTTTATAATTTATTTTTAGTAGATCAATTAAATCAACAAATGAAGGCAGGAGCAGTTTTTGAAGGATTCCAAGAGCCACCTATTAGTTTTGCACCAACCTATAAATACGATGCAGGCACAGAAGAATATGATAGTAGTGAAAAGAGGAGAACACCAGCATGGTGTGATCGTATTCTTTGGAAAACATCCAAAAAAGCAGAGAATGTTGGTATTTTATCATATAAACGTCACGAATTATTATCATCGGATCATCGTCCAGTTAGTGCATCATTTATTATCAAATTCAAAATGGTTATTCCCGAGGTTAAAAATAGAATCTATCAAGAGATTGTCAAAGAGTTGGATAAAAAAGAGAATGACAGTATGCCAGATGCAAATATCTCAACTAATATGGTAGACTTTGAAACTATTAAATTTATGACCCCTGTAACTAAACAATTGGTATTTGAAAATATTGGTCAAGTTATCGCTCGTTTCCAATTCATTCCAAAATTAGATGAATCCATACTTTGTAAACCATGGCTTAAAATATCTCCAATTGCTGGTATGATGATACCAAAAGAAAAAGTTACAATCGATTTAACTATTTATGTTGACAATTTAACATCACAAGCTTTCAATGTAAATGGTGAATCTATGGATGATATTTTAATTTTACATTTAGAAAATGGTAAAGATTATTTTGTAAGTATTCATAATTATTTTTTTTTAATTTTTATAAAAATAATATTAATATAAAAATATTTTTTTATGATAGATTTCAATTTCAGGTAATTTCCAAAGAACATGTTTTGGTAATACTTTAGAAAATTTAGTTAGATATCCACACCCAATTAGAAATAATATACCAATACCACAAGAACAAAAGAAATTATCAATTCCAAAAGAGTTATGGAAGATTATCGATTATATTTATAATAATGGTTTAAAAGAAGAAGGTTTATTCATAAAGAGTGGTGTCACTAAAGAGATGGAAGCAATTAGAGATTGTTTAGATACTGCAGAACACTTTAGTACTATTAGTTTTAGCATACATTCAATGGCGGAGACACTCATTCGTTTCTTGGAATCATTAGTAGAGCCTGTTATCCCATTCAATATGTATCAACAAGCTTTGGATGCTTCAAGCACTCCACATAGTTGTAAACAATTGGTTTCTCATTTACCATCTGTCAACTATAATGTATTTTTCTATTTGATTTCATTCCTCATCGAAGTTCTTTCTCATCAACAAGAAAATCAATTAACTGCTGATCAATTAGCCATTGTATTCAGTACCATTCTATTAAGACCTTCCCCATTATCACCTTTATCTCAATTCCCACCCGATGCCAATATAGTTAAAAAGAAAGCTGATTTAATATTACACTTTTTAATTTCAAAAGATTTAATAAATTAATTTTTTTTTATAAATTTTTCCTAATAAAAAAAAAAATTAATTTCAAAAAATACAGCCATGATCAATCATAAAAATAAATAAAAATAAATAAATAAAAAAAATAATTAATAATAATAATATTAATAAAATCAATAAAATATTTTTAATAAATCAATCAATCAATTAATTAATTACACCAATCTAAAAATATAAAATTTTGCAACCCAGCGAATTTTTTTATTTTTTTATTTTTTTTTTATTTTTTTTTTTTTTATTTTTTTTTTTTTTATTTTTATTTTTTTTTTAAATTTTTTAAATAAAGGTTTTTAAATTTTGATTTTTTTTTTTTTTATATTAGCAATACCACCAAACAATAAAAATGAAAAATATTGTTTTAGTAAAATGATAATAAAGTCTTTTCATATTATAACAATATTAATTTTTTTTATAATAGTTTTTAATAATGTAGAATCACAAAATAATAATAACATATATATTAATAATAGTAATCCAAATGCCATTGGTAATGGAACTTTGACTAATCCATTCACATGTTTATGTGATTTAGTTGATAATGTTAATAGTTCAATACAGTCTGACACAACTATACACATATTTTATGGAAATTATACAACCCGTTATTGCAGACTCGATATAATTAATTTATCAAATATAACAATAATACCATATGATAATAATAATAATAATAATAATAATAATAATAATAATAATAATAATAATAATTCAGTAAATTTAAGTAATATAGATTTTAAAATTATATATTCAGAATCAATAAATATAATAAATATAAATTTTATTAATAATTACAAAGATATATATTTATATGATAATATTGAAATAAAAAATTCAAGCATTAGTTATTATGGTTCAACATTTTTAAATAATAAAATTTCATTGAAAAATTCAATAGTAACAATAAATAATTCAATAATACAAAGTCTTAATATTAATTATCAAGTTGATTCGATTATAGACAGCTATCAATCTAATATAATAATAAATAATACAAAAATAGAATCAGATAATTCAATTCAATTTATAAAATCAACTACAATAGTAGATCCATCGATAATATCAACATCTGCAGCTGCTATTTTGATGGATAATGTAACTGTTACTGGATTTAAAGGTTGTAAATCAGTTTTAGAATTAATATCAGGTTTAAATCATTTTAATAATATTATATTTCAAAATTGCATATTATCAACCTTAATATCTATTTCAAATAATAATCATACAAACACAAATTTAATAATAAATAATATTAATTTATATAATAATAAAAAATTTAAATTATTAGAAATCTTATCAAATATTAATAGTATTTCAATTAACAATTTAAATACCCCTAAAACCCCAATGACAACCAATTGCGATAATAATAAATTTATATCCATGTCATCATTACCCGATAGTGATACCGATACTAATAAATCAAATATAACTATTACAAATTCAAAATTTAATTGTTTTGGTGCAAGTGTTTTTAAAAGATCAAACATTTTATTTAATGAAATTGAAGTTTCTACAAGTTTTATGAAAGTCTATATATCGGTATTAAATGGGACAGCCATCGTATTCAATTCAACAACATTTTCAGTAAACAATTTTGGAACCACTAGTGTTTTGGTAGACACTGACTCCTTTGGTTCACAAATAACATTTGATAAATGTTTATTTAAAGATTCAACATTTTCATTTCTTAATGCACCACAGCTTTTAGTTGTTGATAAAAAATTACTTCATCAAATTTATATTTTAAATTCAATTTTTTTAAATTTTAATTCAAATAAAAATACATTCCTCAATCTTGACTATTCAAATGTTCAAATTTACAATTCTCATTTTTCAAAATTCAATAGTTCCGATTCATATTTTTTAGTTATTTTAAATTCAAAATTATCCATCAGTTCATCGACGATATCAAAATTTTCAATCGGCACCAAAAGTATAATAAGATCGATTTATACAAGTTTTGAAATGAATAATTTTACAATAGATAGTTGTAGATCCAGTGGGTCATCTTTATTTGCTTTTGCAACCTATAGTCTAATGGACTCTTTTATCGCTTCCAATATAGTATTATCAAATAACTATGCATCAGATAACAATCAACTATTCCATCTCAATGGCATGTTAGCTCAAATCAATGATGTTCAAATAATTGATAATACATTTTCACCACTTTTCTATACTTCACAATCAAATTTATCTTTTAGCGATGTCATTTATCAAAATAATATTGGTTCTTTTCTTAGTGGTGATTCATCATACTTTCAATTACAAAATTTCAAACTTGAAAATAATCAATCGCCAATTGATTATTTTATTTACATGAGTCAATCAAAAGGTTTAGAACTTAATAATGTAGAATTTAGAAACAACATTCTTCCAAAGGTTTTAATCGTTATTATTGGTTATATTCCCTTGTCCCCAGACGATAATACCAAGTGCCATTTTAATGTTCGAAATTTCACATTTGTTGGCAATAAAGTATTTTCTTCTATCAATTCATACCTGCCCTATGACGTCCTTTCGGACCCCGCCCATATCGTAGTAGAGTCTTTTACATGTAGTTTCGATTCTTTAACTATCGAAAACAACTATTTTTTGGAAAGAGTGATTTCCTTTTTAGAGTCTCATTATTCTTTTAGCAACAGTGTAATAGCAAATAATCAATTTCAAAGTTCAGGCCCAGGTTACTTTATTTACGATAAAATTCGTATCAATAGAAGTTTTAATATCTCATTTATAAATTTAAAGATTAATAATAATAGACTAGCAAGCAGCTTAGAGAATTCATTAGATTATTATACAAGCTTTATATATTTAACAAAGGTTCAACATCTTGTCATAAGTCATTGCGAAATGTCAAATAATGATTTTCCATTTAGCTATGGTGGTCTTTTTTATATATCAACTTATCCATTTCCAATATTTGATAAATCTAAGGCAACAAATATAGTAGACTCAATATTCTCAAATAATTCAGCACTTTATGGAGGTGCTATTGCTTTTGACATCTCTGTAGATCCCAACTATTTTGAAAGTTTTACATATATTAATAACAATCAATTTATTAATAACTATGGTAAAGAATATGGTGGAGCTATTTTCATTAAAAATGCAAATCAACATTCAACAGAATTATTTAAAAACGATAATAACTTTACTGGTAATTCATGCTTATTTGGTGATAATGATATAGGTAGTGGTATGTATATTTTTATAATATTTTATTATTCAGATCCTCATAATAGTTTTACTAACATTTATTATTTTATTTTGATATATTAGATGTTGGATCAATTGAACCAAGTTATATGCGAGCAGTTAATGGTGAATATTCGATAGTTAGATTTTCGATTAAAGATAAAAGTGGTGCTTTAATGATTGGTATTTCTGGTGTCTATACCATTAACATTACACAGGTTAACGCCGAATCACCTCCAGATCAAGTATTCGGTAATATTTACTCTGGACAAGTGTCGTTCTCGTATATATTCTATGGCGAATATGGCACAAATTATTTAATTTCAGTAATTAACTTTCCATTCTTAAAGCCAATTACCGTTGATAATATAGGTTGTTCAAATTTTCAATACTATAATCAAACTATTAAAGGTTGCAACTTTTGTGATATTGGTTTTGCATATAGTCCATATAATGGTAATACTCTGGATAAAAATCTAACCAATGGTGCATGTGTTAAATGTAATACAGATGAATCAGTATGTCAACAATCAAATGTATACTCTTTAGATGGCTACTATATGGTCAAACCCGAAATAGTTTTTTCCTGTGCCCTAGATATGTGCTATCAAAATAATACTTGCTCTTCGAATTTATATACTGGTAATACATGCTATTACTGCACTAGAGGTATTTCTAGAAATGGTATTAGGTGCTGCTCTCAGTTTATACCAGAGTTATTTGCTCCCGTAATCATAATTTTTATAGGCTTTGGTTTCATTCTTTCAGTCCTCAAATACAGTAACAGTTTTATTATAAAATCAAGTATCATATTCCTCCAAGTCAATTCAGTTATATTCTTTTCATACGGTGGCATTTATATTTTACCATTGTTTAGAGTTTCAATCGATTTTATTGATGGCTATTGTTACTGGCACGATCTAAACTATTTATATAAAATTATAATATCAAATGTGTTAACTATGTTTTTGTTTATGATCGGATCAAGTGACATAACAATAATATTAGGTAATATCTTTTTCAAGAATTATAAAAGATTCATATCAAAAAGACAAACAACCATCTCAACTGAAAAATACTTTAAAAAGATATTACAAAGAAATCACACTAGCAACGGTGTTAATAAATTCAGATCAATTTGGGAATTATCGCAACTTTTCGTCATACCAGTACTCTTTAACTCTATTTCCGTACTTATCTACAGAGAGCAACCTCTTGGATCAGACACAGTTAAGCTTTTAGCATTGGATTTTACAATTCACTATTTCAATACAAATTTACACACCCTTCTTTCTATAATATCATCAATTTCATTATTTATAATATTCATAATTTTAGTAATAATGAGTTACAAGTTTTATAAAATAAATCAAAATACAACCACGATAAATCAAAATATTAATAATATTAATAACCCAAATATTAAAACTAAACTAGACACAAAAATCAATCAGGTACTATCAAAACTAAATTATAAAAGGAAATTTAAATGGTGGGATTTATTAATTATTGCGAGATCATTCATTTTTATTTTATTATCATTATTAATGTTATTCAAGGTTAAATATTATTTAAATATACTTTTATGGGTTCAAATTGTATATTCCCTCCTCTTCTTTTTAATAGCCCCAATTAAATTATTATCAACAACCCCAGTTTCAAAATTCCAACACAAAATCAAAATCAATAATTTAATTAATTTATATCAAGTTTTCATTCTTATTATTACAGGATCAAAATTATTCAAAAATCTAGACCACAATAAAAAAGGTATCTGTGTAACTATTTTATCTTTTTCAATTTTATTTATTATTTATTTTTTAAATTTAAAATATAAATTTAATAATAAAAATAAAACTAAAAAAAATTAAACCAAATAAATTTAAATTTTAAATTAAAATAAAGTTTTGGCATATGAATTAATTTCTTTTTTTTTTATTTTATTTTTTTAGATTTTTTTTTTTTTTTTTTTTTTTTTTTTTTTAAATTTCTTTGGTTTTTTTTTTTTTTTTTTAACGATAATCAAAAGTTTTTATAAATAAACAATAATGGTCCTTGTATTTAATACCTAAAAAAATTAAAAATATTTCATCACTTTCACCATTCTATTTCAATAATAGAACCCAAACAAAACTATATATTAATAATAATAATAATAATTTTCAAAATATTAATAACAATAATGAATATAATAATAATAATATAAGATATTGTTCAACTAATAGTATTAAATTAGAAAACTCAACAATTTTAAATAACGATAAAAACATTGACCAAAATAATAAAAATAATAATAAAGATAGTATTAATAATTTAATTAAAGAGATTTTAAGAAATCCAAATAATTTAAAAGCAAGAGTATCATTATGTTTTGAACAACTTAATACAATGGAAGATGTAGTCAATGAAATAGTAACACAACCAACATATCACTTTAGCTATTCAAAAAAAAAAATATCAGATAAACCAGCTAAAAAACTTTACTCTTGCTATACTGGAATAGATTTATTATATATTATATTGGATATTCAGGAGGATAATAGTAAAGCATTATCGATTCTTTGTAAAGCTATGAACGAGAATGGTTTAAAGTATGTAAAGATACCAGGATCATCAGGCCAAATAGATAGAATTAGAGATATAGCATTCAAGTGTTTCCTTTTTAATAAAAACAAAGATCCAGAATCTTATTTCGATTATTTAAAATCGGTTCATACATCATTGGTTGGAGAAGCTTTTGAAGAAAGTTATTTTAGATCTCTCAACTCAACAGATTATTACTATGTTGTCAGGGATGGTTTAAAAAGATTCCCAGAACATTCATCAGAGTTTTACTTTTATCTATCCCAACTATTACCTGCTAGCAAAATATCTCTTCCAAAATTTGATGCCCCTATGGGCAGAACTCAACTCCTAATCAAATCAATAGAACATTTCAATCACGAAGTTAACGACAAAGAGGATTTAACAAAGTACTATTCCAATCTAATAGACGTACTCAATGAAAACGATAAAACTACAATCAATGGCAAAACCTATGATAAGATCGAACTTTTAACCGAACTTTTAAAATTAAATACAAAAGATATGCCAAAACATACAACAAAATATTACTCAATTCTATTTTTTATTATTGAAGAGATGGGGCCAGACCAAATAGTTAAAATCAATGACCAAGAATATTCAAGAGAGGATCTTATTTATACATTTTTAGATGAACCAGAAACAGAACCATATTATAGAGAACTTGGTTATTTATATTTATCAAAAATTTATGAAATGAAAAAAGATTTTAAAAAAAAAACATTATATTATGATAAATATCTAAAGGAGAAAGGTAAAATAATATAAATTTAAAAAAAAATTCATATAAAATATATATTTTATAAATTTAAAAAAATATATTCTAATCTTTAATTTTATTAATTTTTAGAAACAAATAAAAATCAATTGATTAGTGATTTTGGTAATTTAAAAGATCCTAATAAATATTTAGAACTACAACTCTTATTGGAAAAAGGTGAAAAAGTTTTAGTTGGTCAAGAGCTACTTGGTAAAAAAGAATGTTTAGTTAAAGCAGTTGAGTATAATTTACACAACTCTCTTGTTAATATATATTTAGAATTATCAAAACTTTTAGGTAATGATATCAATGATACCATAGAAATAAAACCAGGTCAAAAACTTAATAAGAGAGAATTGATAGAGTTGGAGTATCGACAAAATCAAAACGACCCAGATGTGCAATACGCTTATTTAATAGAGAACAATGGTTATATAAAAGAGAACAAAATAGATGAAGAGCATGTAGATTATTCGAAGATATTGGTACTAGCTTCACTTATTTTAAATTGTCCTAGAAAAGCAGAACTATATCTCTCTTTAATCGAACCCTTGTTAAATAATGGTTGGAGGAATGTAAAAGAAGCAATAGGTGAAGATTTTGAAGATAGTAACCCTGAGTACTTTAACTTTTCAATTAAAGATCTAGCTTTAACCTACCTACATTACAGCGAACCTATTTACCCAACAATGACATTGGATAATTTTATGGGCTGGTACCACTTGGCATCTAATATGTCCTTTATGGAAGATGAAGAGTATGGTAAAACTAAAAAAGAAATTTTATTCAACTTAATCAAGTTAAATCCAAATTTTGGAGGTAGTTATTTAGAGTTATCCAAAAATCTATCGTTCCCCAATTCCACAGATCCCTTGGACAAGGAAATCGAAATCGATAATCAAACCTTTACAAAAGTAGATTTATTACTAAAGGCCATAGACTTGGAAAAAGATTTTACACTTATAAAAGCAAATTCATTTTTAAGTTTAGTAGAAACCCTATCAGATGACAACAACGTTAAAATCAAATTATTAAATGGTACCAAACTCAATAAGCAACAAATTTTAGTTGAAATATTCGAAAATTTCCCAAATAAAATGTATGAAGAATTTAATTGTTTTGAATTAATAAAAACAATGGAAGCTAACAATATGATGACAATCACTTTAGATGGTTATGAAGTTTCAAAATACGAAATGTCGAATGAAGTTTTAAAATATAAACTTTCTCAAGATAAAAATAATATTATTAATATTTTTAAAAATATAACTAATTTTTTTAAAACTAAATAAATAAAACATATATTTATTATTTATTATTTGTTTTTGTTTTTAAACGCATTTATTATTTATTATAGATTTTTACAATTATTTTCTTAATCTATTTCCATAACTGCCTTGTTTAATTTCATTTTGTAATTCTTTTAATTCCTCATCATAGTTAATCCAAACATAACCAAGCAAATCTGATGGAAGGTCATAAAAGTTTGAACCAGTATAAGGAACATTTAAAAAGATAACATTCTTTCTTCCTAATTTGCCAATTAGTAAACCAAATTCAAATATAACGTTAAGACGTGGATATGCCATTTCATTATAAGTTTGACTATCTTTACTCTTTGAATAAACTATATTATCTGGTGACACTATAACAATTCCAAAAGAACATTGATCTACTTCTCTTTCTAACTTTTCAATAATTGTATCCCCATTGTTTGCTCTTTCAAAAAGAACTATGGGTTCAAAACCTAAACCATTTAAAACGTTATGTACCTTTTGACGTGCTTCATCGTTATGGCCATGCACAATAAAAACTTTTTCTCTTTCATGTGCTTTTTCTTTATAATCTTTGAAATGGCCTAATTCTGCTGACTCTTTAAATGCATTACTAACTTGTGATTCATTTGATTTTACAAAATTATTACAATTTAAAAAAATTAGTAATATTAAAAAAATATTTAAAATTTTCATTTTAGATTTATATATAAATTATTTATTTATTATTTATTATTTATTATTTATTATTTATAATTATTTAATATTTAATAAAAAAAAAAAAAATGGATTAAATTTATTTTATTTTTTTTCTTTTGTAAAAATTTGATCAATTACAAAAATAGTATTTTAATTATCTATAAATATATATAAATTTATAATTATAACCACCTTCCAAAAAAAAATAAAATTAAAAAAACAAAAAAAAAAAACATTTTATAATGATAAAAAAACTCTTAAGTGCAAAATTAAGAAAAATAAATTTAAATTAAGAAAAAAACAAAATTTCTTAGGTTTATTAAAAAAATTAATTAAATTAAGTTATGAAAATACACAATTTTAATCAATCATTTTGAGTTTTTGTGAAAAAATAAAAAAAAAATAAAAAAAATAAAAAAAATGAAAAAATATTTTTTCATTTTTTTTTTAATTTTTTTTTTTTTTTTTTATTTTCATCAATTTAATAATAATATAGCCAAAAAATGACTTCAAATAATAACTCTGAATTAATCGAAAAAGAAAAATCTGTCGAATGTATTGTCAAATCCACCTTATACGGTTATTTAATCCCAGCTTCTTTAATTTTTGTTTGTAAGTTTTAAATTATAAATCAAATTCCCACAATAGATCAACAATAAGAATCATAGATTATTACATTGCATCAAAATGCAAATTTATATTTTTATAATTTAATATACAATCGACTAACATTTATCTTTAATATTTAAAAATATATAGTAAGAAAGCCAAGCTTTGTTCATAAAACTATGTTAATTGGTGCTGGTTTTGGTTTAGGTTTTTCAATGAATGATGTTGCAAGAAGTCAAAGATTCAAAGGAAATTATTTATTTGACATGTTAAACGATAGTTGTTGTTCAAAAACTTCATGCTCAACCACAAATAAATCACACTGTACTAAAAATAACACTACCACCACTATTGTCACTGAAGCTAAAGAATAAATAATAGTTAATAATAATAACACTATATATCAATAATAGCAACACTATAATGATGAAATAATTTTTTAAAATAAATGTAAAACTTATAACAAATAAAAATAAATAAAAAAAAGAAATCAAGGTTTCGCCTAAAAAAAAAATATAAAACTTTATTTAAATAACTTTCTATTGTTCATTTAATTCGTGATTGTGTAGCATGTATGGGCTATATCTATTGTTATTATTATTCTCGATATTGGAACTCCAATTTCTTCTTCTAATTAATCTTCTTTTTCTTACCCCTCCATTATTATTGTTATTACTATTATTATGATTATGATTATTATTATTATTGTTATCATTATTATTATTATTATCATTATTATTATTATTAATATTATTATTAGTAATATTAATATTATTAATATTATTATTATTATTATTGTTATTATTATTATAAATATTAATATTATTATTATAATTGTTATTGTTATTGATATTATTATTATTGGTATTATTATTATTATTAATATTATTATTATTATTAT